TGTAAGTCAGAACTGGCGGTCAGTTTCAGCAGCGGCTGAATCTGGACGCCAGTTCCGACTTACATACAGATTCAACTTAAGAACAAACCTACAGTCCCTATCTTGTACGTAACCCGGGGACTGCCTGTATAGGCAACTGAAGAGCAAGTGAGGGCTGGGGACTCAAATTCACACAATTCATATTGACTGCGGACCATCTCCAAAAGGTCAGTAGCAAACAGTTCCTGGATCATATTTTGATAGGAATGTATAAGGTCATAACATCCTTTACAATAAAGCTCCTTTACATCACTCTGACAATGTAAAGGAGCCTTAACATTTTTACACCTGTTTATGCTCCTGGGAGAATTCACTAAGGACAATGGGAACAATTCACTAAGCAGACAGGCTACGACCATTCTGTTCTGAAGGAGGGGACAGAGACTGCCCTACAGTGATTGCTCAGAAACACTCCAAAGCTGAGTGTGCTGCAAACACAGAGTCTCTCTCACGCCTAACTACCAAGACCCCTCCTCTCTGGCAGTGATTTTACATCTCTACCATCTGCTCTGGGTGCCCAAATTGACCAGGCTGCACTGCTGGGGAGGTACTTGGAAGCAGGGCCGGTCGGAGCCATTTTGGCACCCTGGGCCCTAGGCACTAGGCACACGGTGCCGCCCCTGGGGCTCATGGCCCCGCCTCCGGGCACATGACGCATGCGCGGGCCCTCCCCTGGGATGCACGGCCCCGCCACTGCACGCACGGTGCATGCACTGCCCAGTCGGCCCGGCCACCACCAATGGTGCGCAGCCTGGAGCCGCCTGGGGCGGGTTGCGCCTGGCCGTGCAAGGCCCTGCAGCCACAGGGGGGAGGGAGTTGCTGGCCGGTGCTGCAGGGGTTAACACGGCCCCTGCCCCGGGTGGCCGCTGCAGCCCGCCGGGAGCCGGGCACCCCCCATAGGTTGGCACCCTGGGCAGCTGCCCGGCTAGCCCACCCATTAGTCCGGCCCTGCTTGGAAGCCACAAGAGTGGTCACCTTTACTTCCCATTTGCCCTGTACCGGCCCTTTAAGGGCAAAACCCCAGCCCTGAGTGAGGGCTGAGAGCAAAGCCCCAGCTGAGGCAGTTCTTGTTAATGAGAGCCCAGCTGCAGGCTATATAAAGGAAGTCTCCTGAAGGAAGAGGGAGAACTGACTGCCGCTCTGGAGAGAGCAGTAGGGACCTGACTGCCAGGGAAGCAGGAGGCTTCCTGGAGATAGAGCAGTGCTGGGGAAGGAAGGAAGGCAGGGCTGGAGAGGCTCTGGCCAACCAAACTCCCAGGCTGCAGGGCCTGAAGCAAGGCCTAAAGCTACTGGGGCTACAAGGGGCAGCCATGGTAGGCAGGGGCAGCAGGTCCACACCCCTTTACCAATGATGGGTGGCCATTACAGACTGCAATTTTCCCTGAGGCAGGGACTAGATGAAGACTCGCAGTGGGTTACTGAGCCAAGGTGGGTACAGGGGAACTGAGTGTTCCCTGGGAGAAGAACTGGGGGCCCCTGAGGAGGGGAGGACCCTGGAGGGAGCAGTGGAGTAAATAACAACACCCCCTGGAAGGGGGCGCAGAGAGACTGGAGTAGGCACTGCTGGAGGGCAGTGTCCTGAAGAAGACGCTGTGGTCAAAGAGAAACATGGGGAGACACCAGCTAAACAGAGGCATCCAGCGAGCCAAACAAGCTAATTCCCAGGACTGCCCGCTGGAAGTGTTATGGTGGTGAGTCTACCTCATGACATTCCCCATCAGAAGTCGCTTTTCTGTAGGGAAGTAAAGAAATCTGTGCAAACCATGAATTCTGCACATGCGCAGTGGTGCAGAATTCCCTCAAGAGTACCAGTGTAGAACTCTGCGTCTTATAAGGGGCTAGTGCTAATGAAAACCAGAAGAAACCAGACACAAGCATGAGTCCCTGAACAGAACGGCGTGTCTGCATCATCCGATGCCCATGGCAAGTTCCATGACTTTCACAGCATGGGGGCTGAGCTGCCTCTTTGCACTTTGCCAGGTACTGGATGTACAGAGTAAGCTATTGTCTGTACTGCAGTAAGGTCGCAGGGCCTCTTGGGTTAGAGACA